GCCCAGAGTCACCCGTTGGGAGAGATGGGCGGCATACAAATTTAATAAATAAATAAATAAATAATAATAATAAAAAAATAAAATAAAATAAACTCTATTTGTACAGAACCTATAAATAACTCAACAGACTAGTTCATAAAGCTGCTAAATTACTCAACAGATTTGATGTAATCTGGCCATTTGCAATAGCTGTAGGACTCCCAACAGGATAACAATTTCCATTTTTGAGATATTATCTAGAATCAGCTTCTCATTTCATTTCTTTAGGAAGCTGGGTTTATTGCTGCAGAAGACTCAGATGCAAATTGATTAGTAAAAATTGTCTAGCCTGTTTGATATTCAGAAATCACTGAGTGAAGGTTTTTCATTCATGCTTTAGAAAGGTTAATTTATAGTTCAAAAGGCCTCTCCTGTACTATAGGAGACACACAAAACCAAAGCAGGTATGATATTATTGGCAGAATTAATTATTGCATGAATGTTACTTTGAACTGGGGCTAGAATGGCAGGATTTAGCTCTTCACCCTCTTTGTATTCACATCTGGGTCTTCTCCATGTACAACTGTAATTATCATTGAGAGGAAACTTCCTTTGAGTACCAGAAAAAGCTTTTATTGCAATGCCAGTATCAACTATCGGCAGGGTTGGCTTTATGCTAAGGTCAAGTAACGACTGGCCTACAGTGCCAAAGTTTGGGGGGCACCAATGCTGCCCCTCCTTCCGAAACATTCTAAAATTGCAAATCTTCACCTTGACGGGAGGTAGTACCACCAGCCAATGTGGCCTGGGGTGCCATATACCTTGGACAGTACTGGCTATTGGGAGAAGGCCTGGGACTGGACCCATCCAGGGTTACAGCACTAAATCCACTCCTCCCCCTCCATTGTCATAATACAGACTGGCCCCTTACCTGCAACTGCTATTATTTAGTTAAAACGAATGTGTACCCAACAGCAAATTGAGTGAACAATGCCTTAGCTGTTGATCCTAGCAAATGAAACACTCAATTATGGATTTTGGATTTTTTTAAAAGAAACAGTTGGAATTAGTTTAGTACAGAGCTATTATACAATGATGATGAAGGCATATCCTCACAAAATCTTTAGTAAGTTTCCCATGTCTGAATACTGAATTTTGCTAATTTATGTATGGTAACATAAATGTAATTAATAGTGCCTTCGTACTATCAGATATTTAGTTACTTGTGGCTTCCTATTAAGCAATTACTGCAACAAGGTTAGTTTATTCTAGAGTAGTCAGACCTGGAAAAACGGTGTCTAATTCTGATCTTTGCCATTATAACAAAGTGTAGGTGAATTAGAACGGGTTCAAAGGACATAATGAAACTTGTCAACCAACTGGAAAATTAGTTCTGTTAAAAAGCCTGATAATATTGGGTGTCTTTAGTATGAAGAGTAAGGAGTGGGAGGCAGATATGATAGCTCACCCCAAATACCTGAAGGGATGTCATGTAAAAAGGGGCAATCAATAGAGTTAAGTAGGTTCAGAGAATCATAGAGTTGGAAGAAGCTATTTAGTCCCTGAGTCCAGCTCCTGCTTGCTTCTGGAGAGATGCAGTCAGAGAAGCAGTGGGCAACCAAAAGGGTGATTCTGGGCTCCCTTCACTAGGGGATCAAGCAGAGGTGAGAAAGACATCTGTCAGAGATATTTTACCTGCACTGAATAGAGGATTGGACTCAGTGGCCTAAACTCATTGATTGATTGATTGATTATGTGCCATCAAGTTGGTGTTGACCCCTAGGAAATACATAGATAGATTTTCTCCAGGATGATGGGGTCCTTCAGGTCTTCCAATGGTGCCATTCACGTTGCTGCTGGTCATCTTCTTCTCTTTCCTTCCACCTTTTCCAGCATTACAGATTTCTCCAGATAACTAGACCTTTGCACAATGCGTCCAAAGTCTGATCATTTGAGCCTGCTCATTTTTGCCTTGAGTGAGAACTCTGGGTTAATTTGTTTGATGATTAACTTGCTTGTTTTCTTGGCTGGACGGCCTAAATGACCCCTATTGTTACTAAGATTGTAGAAATCCAGACAGAAGCATTCTCAATAAATGTCTATCCAGACTTAGTTTGAGCACATCTAAGAAAGTATGGCCCACTTCCTTTCTATGTCTTCAGTTCCACTATCACACTACTGATACCACGTTTTTCCTAACATTCAGCAATCATCCTCTATCTCAAGACCATTATTCTGTGTCCTGCAAAATATTTGCTTGTCAGGCCTCTGTTGCAAAGCACCGAACTGTCAAAAAGAATTAGTAGCCTCCCTAAATAATGACATGGGCCTCCTTTGCCCAATTTCTTTTTCAATTTAGGAATCTTAGCCTGAGAAACCTTTTCAGCCATGAACCTCAGTTTCACCCAAGAGTTAATAAGTCGTTTTCCTTTTCCTTTTCTTAAATTTTCTTTTTTCTTTCTTCAGTTGCCTAAGCACAATTGTAGTTTATTATCTGCCATTATCCCTTTGCATGTTAATGAATAGCTTCAGTTGTAATTACAGCATTGCTGGGAAATAGCCCATTAACACCATTCCTTGTTTACAAAACACTTGGGTTTTTCTAAACTAAGATGTGGCATCATTATGGCTTTTTTGCACCTCTGTGATGAATATTAGAAAAGCTGATGCCCCTGAGTGAATAACAATTCTGGGGTAAGGATAGCTAGTCTGTAGTCTAATACAGAGAGATAGCTTAGCAAGACGGTAGTAAATTTCACCTATGGCCAGTGTGATTGAGTTGGGTCAGAGTTAGGGAATAATGTTCCTCTAGCATGCCAGGTTTTTTTTTATTCCAGTTCCCATCACTAGTATGGCAATGTCAAAGGATTATGGGACCTGTATTTCCAAATACCACAAGGGTATGAGCTTACCTGGGGACAGGATGCTGGCTGGGGAATTCTGGGAGGTGAAGTCCACACAACTTAAAGTTGCCAAGTTTGAAAAACACTGGTGTAGAGGTTGAGGTGCAAGGTCTGAAAGCAGGAGATTGTGAGTTCTAGTCCCGCCTTAGGCATGAAAGCTGGTTGGGTGACTTTGGGCCAGTCCCTCTCTCTCAGCCCCGCTCACTTCACAGGGTTGTTGTTGTGGAGAAAATAGGAGGCAGGGACATTAGGTATGTATGCTGCCTTCAGTTGACCAAAAATAACGATGGGATAAAAAGTTTAATAAATAAATAAATAATAGAGAAAGGAGCAAGAATCTGTTGAAACACCGACAAGCTGAGTGCTGTATGTATGGCATAGATGAAGTGAGTAGGATGTGATATATAAGTTACTCTGAATAAAAGGGGACATGTACTAAAGAGTGTGTGTGGAGGGAGACAATTACATATCTATAATTTTGGAAATGCTGCCACGTATCCAGAAGCTTCAACGTGTGCTTCTAGAACAGCACACATTACACCTCTGCTCCAGTTGCTTGGCTGCCAGTTTGCTTCCAGGTCCAATTCAAGGTGCTGGTTTTGACCTTTAAAGCCCTTCATGGCATGGGGCCAGATCATCTGAGGGACCGCCTCTCCCCGATTATATCTGGCCATCCCATGGGGAGGGCTACCCACGTTGCTGCTGCTAGCCTGTTGGTCATCCAGTCTACCATCTGGAGATTTAGCATGTGTCAGAAAGGGTCTTGTCCACACACTGAAATACTGGGTGGGGCTGCTGAGTCCACTGCCTGTAGGGCCATTGTATATATTCTACCATGGAGGAGGATATCGACATGTTGGGGAATTTCTAAGCCTCTACAACTCTGCATTGCTGGGTTAATGTTGGCCTTATGCTACTACAATGTTTGGTGACTTTTGATTGCAGTTAATTTTATGTTGTTGCTTTTCTAGTGAGAAGCTGGATGGAAAAACTAAAAGACAAGGTAGGGAGCTCTTCTCAGTATGATTCATTTTAAAATGCATTATTTTTTACTTTCAGAAATCCACTATGGAGTGGTAACCTTTTAATCAATGACTTTTGATAAGACTCAGAGACTTTTTCTGGATGGGTAGCTGAGAGCACAATTGTTTTATGAGTTTGAATGATGACCGTGGATATCCACAAGTGGCATCATGTGCGTCATGATGTCATTGCGCCTCATTGTGTGTGATGGCATCAAGATATGTGTGCTGTCGTTGTGGCTTCTACTAGATCCCTGTGATCATTTGTGGTTCCCAAGCCTTGAATCCAATTTTTACCATCTGGCATCTTCCAGTTTCTGAGTGCTATAGAATTCTGAGATTTGTAGTCCTAGCACATCTGGAAGGTTCAGTTGATAAAGACTGCTATGGTCTATCGTACCCTGCCTTGTTTTCCCTACCTATTACCAAGAGTAACCTTTGCGGGGGGGTCCTGGATTCAACCCTCCTCTCTAAGAATTTGTACAAGCAGAGTAGTGTGTGGACATTCTGTGTATGCCCCAATTCAGCTAACCACCCTGGGGATTTACTGATTGTATAAACTGGAGCTCTGCCATTCCACAGTCTTCTCAATATGCAATATATATCTAAGCATTGTGTAGCTGACATTTTTATTTTGAGCAGAGGTCTCATGCTAGAATCCATGGGGGACAGAACTGTGAGACACCAGAAGTTGTTTGAGCACTTTGCTTGCAGCTGGTCCCTATTGCCAGAAACAAGGGCAGGACGATACACGTTCCTTCTAGGAAGAAAGCAAAGCCTGTTTCTCAAGATGTGACTAGGAACTGGAATTTGGGTGTTTTATAGTGCTCTAGCAGTGCTTTGCTGCATGTGTTATCTAGAGCAGGGTTTCTCAACCGTGGCAACTTTAAGATGTGTGGACTTCAACTCCCAGAATTCCCTAGTTGGAAGTCCACGCATCTTAAAGTGGCTAAGGTTGAGAAACACTGGTCTAGACTAAAGCAGACTTCTTGACCTGGTCTCCTCTAGATGTGTTGGACTGCAATCCCATCATTCTCCTTAGACTTTGGCTATGCAGGCTGTCTCATGAGGGTTGTAGTCTCATACATATGAATGGCACCAAGTTGGGGACAAAAGCTTACACATTTCCAAGGCACCTCATGTCATTGACTGTGGTTATTCCCATATGAACCTAAAAGGACCAAGGATCCATGTCCCTGCGGCTGGGATGTCACTTGCAAATAGGTCCTTCTGCATGTACAACCTCCTCCCCACAGGGGGCAAGACTATCTGAAGAAGACTGCACATCAGAATATATGGAAATACATCAGCATAAACCTGCTCAGTATAACGTCCTATCATATTTTAATGGAGAAAATGCAACCCAGCTTTTCCCAGCTTAGTGTATCCCTGTATATGTTGGTATGCCACCTTTGGGGATTTTCAGCCAGCATGCTTAAAAAGCAGTGGGAATTGTCGGCCTGTAGACCTGATACATCTTGTGGATACTAAATTGATGAAAGCTGATATAATCCATATATCAGAGTTGTTGCTGGACCCATCAGTATAAGTGTCCTCACCTGTTTGTTTCTCATTTACTCTCTTTCCTTTCCTCCCCTGCTGTCTTCTGCTTCGTGAATCCATGAAACTCCACTGTCAGCCCTATAAGGTAGACCAGACTAAGAAATCAATGCCATATAGATCAGGACTACTTTTACTGTAACAGCTATAATAACAGAATCTTTTGAGTCTGAATGTGCTTCTCCCCCCCCCCCCCC